GCTCAGTAAAGATCAGGGAAAACTCATTGAGGATGCCAGCATGTATAGGAGATTAGTAGTGAGAATCATATATCTATCTATAATGAGATAGGATCTGTCATATGCTTTACAGGTTCTCAGTCAATTTCTTCAATCACCAAGGCAGCCACATTTGGAGGCTGCTCACCATGTCCTTCGATATCTGAAAGGAACTCCAGCACAGGGGTTGTTGTTTGAAAGTAAATCTGACATGATTCTTAAAGGATTTTGCGACGCTGATTGGGCAGCGTACTCAGACACAAAAAGATCGATAACTGGATATTATGTTTTCCTTGGCAATTCATTGGTGTCTTGGAGATCAAAGAAATAGCTTACGGTCTCCAGATCATCAGCAGAGGCAGAGTACAGGTCCATGGCTGCTGGTGTGTGCGTGTTAAGCTGGCTGAAAAATATCCTTAATGATCTTGGAATCAAACATAACACAGCTGCATTATTGTTCTGTGATAGCAAGTCAGCGATTCACATTGCCAGCAACCCGGTATTCCATGAGAGAACCAAACATATTGAGATCGATTGTCATCTTGTGAGAGATAAGGTGCAAGTTGGAGAAATTAAAATGCTTCATGTTCCATCTCAAGATAAGTTGGCAGATATTTTGACTAACGCATTGGGAGGAAATCGTTTCAAGTATTTGGTAGATAAGATGGGATTGTTAAATGTTCATCTCCCATCTTAAGGGGGAGTGTTAGAATCTATGTAAATAGTGTAAATAGGTGAGGTTATTTTAGTCCTTTTACCTCTTTCCTTTGTCTATATATACGATAGCTAGCATACCGTATTTGGATTGTAAAATTCTGTTTCAATTGAAAATTGGGGATAACGTTTCTTCCCGCCAATTACTCTTCTTCTCAATTCTCCTCTCTTCATCTGTTTTCTCATCTTTCACCATTTTCTTCAAATGCTCCCAGCTCACAAAACCATTAGAAGTCTCAACCCTCAGTCCAATTCCAATCTCCACCACTACCATCTTTGCATTCAGCGATTGCTCCGCCATTATCGGCCATGCCAGAATTGGTACATTTGCACATATACTCTCCATTACTGAGTTCCATCCGCATTGGCTTAAAAACCCTTGAACACTAGAGTGTTCAAGAATTTCCCTCTGATCAACCCATTCTTTCACCAACATTCATCTGTCTCTTACCTGATATTCAAACCCGTCATCATCTTCAGCTTGCTTACTCCGAACAACCCACAAAAAATTGACGCCGGAATTTTCCAAACCAGTTTTGATCTGCATGATTTGTTCTCTTGATATATCTGCTTGTGATCCGAATGCCACATACAGAACTGGTTTCCTTCTTCTTACTTTCTGTCAAGCCACTGAATCCACGACCGTGTTTGGCCATTTTCCGCCTTGTTTTGTGGCACCGCCGCCAGACAAAGTGGTCCAACACACCATGCTTTCGGATCGACTTCCCTATTCCAGTAATCAGCGTAAACTGATTCCAGCTCGTAGAAGCTGTTAACAATTATACCATAGCTTTTTCCCGTCACTTGAACTTGCTCCAAGATATAGTCAGTATGTTTTTTTTTATTATGGGACTCTGGATCTACAAACGCAGGATCAAAATCATTTTTTGAAAATTTAATCCAAGGAAAACACGGAATCGTGAATAATTTTTTATTATCCGTCCCCGAATGTATAAGAAGCTGCTAAGATTGATATGCATCAAATGAAAGAGCCATGGAAAAATTGCTCATGCCGTAATAAACAAGTCTTGGGATGCCAAATTTCTGCGCTGACTCCAGTGTCCAGCCGAGGAATCCATCTGTAACCATGAAACTGATGCGTGGGAGAGAAGCTAAGGCCTTTTCAAAGCCGAGTTTCATGAGTTTTGCTGCAATGGCTAACTGAGGCCATTGGGACATATCAGGGAGTTTATCAGTACTTTCCACGCTGGGAGGTATGCCGTCGATGTTTTGTGGGAATGGGATGTCGATGATGGATACTGTGGTGTTGGAAAGAGCGGTAGAGATGAAGGGGCGGTTAGCCGGTGTAGTGATGAGAGTGACGGAGGCGCCACGATGGAGGAGGAGGCTGGCGAGGTGGAGGATTGGGATTGTGTGTCCCTTTGACATGAAGGGAAATAGAAGTACATGGGGAGAAGCCATTTCTTTATATCTCTTAAGGCTATATGATTCATTGCAGAGGCATACATTTATAAAGTGAGGAGATTTTATCAACAGTTGGGAGAAGACATTTCTTCATTCAATCGTGCTGCATTGCCCTGCACAGGGGCGCCACAGAGCAAGCCCCCCACTTATGGATAAAGCCCTGTAATCTTTCTTTATTTCAAATCAAGATTGTTGATACAATTCAAATCAAGGCTAAGGTGAATCCTTTTTAAAGTCTTGTCAACAATCCTGTTTGAGTAACATTAGTGTGAGAGCTGTTCTTCTGCCCACGGTGGGAAGTCTTATAATGCCCACTTGAACAGAACCCAACGTTGGGTTCTCACATTTGGATAAAACCTAACGTTGGGTTTTCCTGCCACATCAGCAGGTGGGCAGTTTTATCCTGCCCACCGTGGGAAGGAGAACATTTCCAACATCAGTGTTTCTCTTGAGGCTATATAATATAGGGAAAGGTCATTTGTACAGATTCATTTAACAAAACCCCCATGCCAAAATAATTTGGCAATATGTGATTAAATGGTTGAAAAATATTTTTGTCACAATTGCCAATGAAATTCTGCCAATTGTGAATCTGGCACCAATATGGCAAAATGAATATGTACATGTAGCATAACTCATTTACTAAAACGATATTACTTCAATTGTAAATATAAATTAAGAAACTTTCAAATTAAATTGATATGTTAAATAATAAACATATTAGTTCTAGTTTATTAAAACTGTGAAATATATATATATTTGGCACAAAACGTCCCTACCTTTGACATGTATTGTGAAAACCGTCCCTATCTTTCATTTCTTGGCATTTATGCCATTACCTTCCACATTTCGTGCGCCATATGTCCTTTTCACCATGTTTTGACGATTTTACCCTCCATTAAACTGAAACAAAAAAAAAAAAAAAAAAAAAAAAAAAAAAAAAAAAAAATAAACAAAATAAAAAAATAAAAAAAAAAANAATTGAACAAATTGCAACTATTGACCTAAACTTTTAAAAAGTGCAAATAACACAACAAACTTCACATTCTTCCCAAAACTCGCCCCCACCGGAAATTGCCAAGTTCGACAACCATACCGCCGACAAAACTACTGCATTTTTACACCACCAACACCTCCTCATCCCCTACATAATTCTATACCAATAAGCAACCAAAACACGTTAAAAATAAATCGAAATTCATGTTCAAAAAACCATTCCCACGCACAATTTTACCTCCAAACCAATTGCCCCCGTCGCCGCCTCCACCGCACCACATAGAGGTGTCAATCCGGGTGGGCGGGCCGACATATGAGTCCGGTAACGGCCCGCGTGAAAAAAAAACCCACCCGCTACGGGTTCCGGGCCGGTTCCTGGTCGGCCCACAAATTTTGGACTACAACCCAAGCCCGCCCGCTGACCCATCCGGGTCGAGCCCATACGGGTCACGGTTCGCGGGTCGCGGGTTGTTCCAAGAATTTTTTATATTGATAGCAAAATTTTTTTTTTTTTGGTTAAATGTAAATTAAAAATTGAACAAAATGATAAATTCATATTTATACCAAGAAATGTTCACATAGAATTCAAATTTAAT